AGTTAGAAGTAACAGACTTTTGTCAGTAGTAAGAAATCTAAGGGCCTGTGCGTGGTTTGAAGGAAGCAAAAACTTTCTGAACTAAAATGAGCTAAAATTATGTGGTTGTCAAATGAGAATCTGTTCCAAAATAAAGATTTATTGAACCAATCTTTTCTCTGCCAGTGCATTGTTAGTGGGACATAGAAATTTTATGTTTTGGAGAAACAGCCAGAAGAAAACTGGCTGAAATGGCAGATGGTGTATCTCATTCATAAATTCACACTTTCTGGCTTTTTTCTTGATATCCTGTTATTAATACTGTTAGGACATATCCTCTTACGTATTACTACCCAATTAATTGGAATGTAAAGAGTTCATTCTCCACTATGTGATTCAATTTTTACCTTCTTCCTAAGAGAGTAAGTTCTTGGAAGAACGTATTCATTTTAACTGTAAAGAAAAAAACTAGGGCATCAAGTTTATTTCATTCTCATTTTAACTTGTGGGAAATACTGGAATGGATCCTCTAAGGCAGTCAAGGTTTGTATGCAAGAGAGTCAATCCAAAATTAAGGGGAAAAAATGACTTAATGGGTGCAGGGCTATGGAGCCATGAAAAATAATTGTTCACAGACTCACGACAATATCGATCACAGGATCCCCAGCAATGACTGGAAGAAACTGCAGGGTAACTGGTCAGGAATGATTCAGACTGATGCAGCCTCAAAGGATTGCTTCTTTGTTCCTGATTTTACCATTTAATTTTTTGTCCTAAAAGGGTATATATACGCGCATATATATATATATATATATATATATATATATATCCATCTTTTTGATAGATATATTTATCAATCTATATGATATATATATACATATATATATATAGCAATCTTTAGAAACCAATGCATGTGCAACTAGAAACCAAATAGCTGCAGAATAAATTGGCAACTGGCATATTCCTTGAAATATGTTGCCAGTTTTGGAGTTGGGATAAACTAAACCCAAAATTTAGTTACTGAAAGCCAAAAGTATCTGAAAGAAGTAAGAATCTAGGTAAGAATTCGTTTTGATAATATAATGAAAGCCTCTCTTATTGTATAATTTGTTTTCTAAACCGTCATCTTTAGATACTGGTTTCTTACAATTTTTCTCAGAATTTCAAAGTACGATTAAGAAAGTGAAAACAAAGTGTCTGCTCAAATCATTCCATATAAAAGCAAACAAACAACAAAAAAATGATTTGCATGCTCTAATTTCATCTACTCAATGTTAGTTTAGTCATTATAAGGATAGTTGTCTTACTTCTGAAATGCCTGCCTTCTCTTGCCCAAATTGTGTATACATGCAAAAAAAAAAGTGGATTTTCCATGAAACACTTGGTAAACATAAATCTTTGATGACAATGCATATGAACTATATGTTCCAGAATTGTACAGTATTCCAACTAGGCACATGTTGAGATGTTTAAAACTATTTAGTTTTGTATACCTTTGTTATTACATAAAGAACTTGCACATCTTTCCTTGCTATCTTAATAGTGAGGAAATACACATACTTAGAAATACATTCTGAAAATAATATCCTCTGTGAAAGTGATGGTTGATCAGGAAATTCACCACATAACCCACTGGTTACAGAGCATTTTGAACCAGGTTTTGTTCCAATTTCACTGGAAAGCATCATACTCATTTGGTAATCAAAGCATCCTGTGAAATCAGACAGTGTTATTTCAATAGTTACTGATACAGTGCAACTCATTTTAAGATAATAACCTAATAATATATTTAGTAATTTTTCATATGTGTGCCATATTCTCAGATTCCTATGGAGAAGCAATTTCTGTCAATTCTTAATATAGACATTAATGCCAAGTAACATATAAGAAACAGACTCACAATATTTTCCTGGCAATGTAACGCCACAAAACTAAGAACACTATGTTCTTGGACTTCTAGAATAATTCCACAGCAAGATCAGCTGTTGCTAGGAATGTATGAAACCTAGAGCAACCTACACACATTTTGTTATATTGAAATATCCAGAAAAGGATATCATGCATTTCACATATGTAGAAGCATCGATTGTTTTATGTGTTAATCACGGCCATTTGTGTGCATTTTTTTTTTTTATTTTTATTACCTAGGCTTGGAGCAATCTTTGCAAAACAGACCCATAACAAACACGTAAAAATAGAATAAAAAGCACATTCTCCATAAAGTGCTTGCACAGCACAGAAATGGAAAATGTTGGCACCCCGTCAGTTTTGTGTGGTATAAAAAATTCTTATATTTAAATTCTCTGTGTTTTACCAGTCCTTTTATGTAAACCCTTAAGTGGAGTTGACTGTTTATGCTGGTTGATTTGACCATGTGATGCCTTTCAGGTTGGGGAGCTCTCACTTCCCTGTTTTCTATCAGGCCTCCTCGATTACCGGCATGTGGGGCCAATTTGTTTCTTCGGCAGAGGAAGGACGAGGGGTGTGGGTTTAATTTGAAGCCTTGACGTAAGGTTTAATTTGCTAAAAAAAGGAAGCTATGCCATTGTAAATCTTGGAGGAGACACTAAGGTTGTGAGAGCTGTCAGCCCAATCTGTTTCAAACAGTGTTTGAGGTGTTTTTAGAGAAACTGTATTTATTTCCAGACCCCACTCCCTAATTGAGTTGATGCTTAGTTGCAAATATAACTCTAGTTTTTTTATTCTGATCACTTTTTTTTTGAGAGAGAGGATGGATTCTAGAAAGTTTTTATATGGAATGTGGATTTACAGTAGATGGGCAGATTAGTGTGTTATGAGGATGCAGTTAATGAAAGGGCAGTGATCATTTTGTGTTTTACAATCACAGTGAAAATAGAGAAGAAGGAAATGCAATTAACAGCTGCAGGATGACCTCGGTAGAGAAATACAGGAGATTCCTAGCTGGACGATTATTTAACATGGGGTGATATTTATGTGGAAAGTTAGGAAATGTTTTCTTTTCATAGATTTTAAAAATTAAGGATGCTTATGTTGCCTTACAGATCTTCCTTGGGTAACTTCTTGATAAAGAATGGAGACGCAGGCTAATTCTCACACTTGGGGTTTCACTGCATTCCCCATCCCAGGAATATATGTAAATGTGAGGGGGGTTTCAGCTCTGATGATGACTGAAGGGGACAGTGCATCATGCAGTGGATTGTAACCATGGGTAGAACGTATCCTTCAGTGCATGGGCCGTTTCGTATCATTTCTGCTGTTTCCAAAACTCTGCAGTTAGAAACAACTATGCACAAATATCTCTTTTACTTACTTATAGCAATGACACATGTCTTCATGTGCATGTGAGGCTCATATTGTATGTGTGTATGTTTATTATTAGAGAAGCAGCACTCTGTTTTTTTTAAAGTATTTAAAAGTGTCCTGAGGACCCTGCTAATATTAAATATCATATTGTCTAGGTTGGCATTTCAACCTAGCCATTTAGTATTTTCTGTGACTATAAATAAGGTACATAAACTCTCTGTGCTCCAGTTTTTTCATCGGTAAATTTGGAATACTAACAGTATTTTCTTCTACATTGTTGTGAGCATTAAATGAGTTCAGGCATATCAGGTGCATAGAACAGTGCAGCAAAACAAAACAAAACAATATGCAATAACGAATTCATCTGTGTTTATAGCTTAAATGTTGCCAATTATTATTAACTCTGTTTCTCCTGTGATCTTAGATCAAACTTTCCACAATTGAACAAACTTTATTCCTTCCATGATCTCCCTGTCCTCTCTCTACAAAACTGTGGACATACAGAAATAAAGTATATTTGCCAAGGAGTACTCAGAATTTGAAAACAGGAGAGTTCTAAATTCCTTAAAAAATTTAAGTAGCCATGAGTACTCAGTTTGACTTCCAAGCCCACCTATTACTTGATAATTACATAGTGAGAAAAATTGGGGGGAATATAGTTTTATATAGAATTTAAAATCTGAAATCCTGGTGAAGAAAAATTTCAGAAACAAATAGGAGTATTTTTATGTTTAAAAGGTACTCAATGTTTTTACTTTGTCAAAGATTTGTTGCAATAATTCAAATAAATGGGTGTAATCTAACATTATTTTAGCAAATATTGTGAATATGTGTTTTTTGAAATGAAATTGAACTTTATTATTTTGTATACTCACAGTAGCCTTGTAGTTTATTTCAGAAATGTTATCAGACAGCATCCTTTTGTGTTTTAAATGAGCCCTGGTGTGGTACTAAGTATTTTTAAGCCTATTAAAAGTGTCCTGAGGACCCTGCTAATTTTCTGAGAAATGTTTTGTTTAATTACAATCAATCATCAAGGATTTTTATAAAGCTATCATATCATTAAATGTGTGCTAAATATTTTGAGGGTGATTGTAAAGCATGTGACATAAGACAATCCTCCCAGAGTTTGTTTTCTAATTAATTAGGCAAGATTGATACCTGCACATTCATTTATGAAGCAGATATCACCATGTTCTGCATGGTAGGGATTCAGCAATAAATAAAACAGACTAAATAGATGATGGTGCTTTCATTCTAAGGACTGGGGAGGATAAACAATAAAATAATATATTTAATACCAGATGCAAATAAGAGTTACAGGGAAAACTAACCTATGAAGGGTGCTAGAGAAAGCAGTGCTAAAGATGTTCCAGTTTTAGATAGGGTAAACAGTGAATTACATTTGAACAAAGATCTGAAGGAGGTGAGGAAACCAACAGCAAGTAAGAGATTCCAGGTGGAGTAGAAAATAACAAACACAAAAGCCCAAGAGCTAAAATTTGTCTGGTAAATTCCAGAAAAACCAGAAAGGTCAATATAGAGAGAAATAAATGAGTAAAGGGAATCTGAAATGGGCTATGAGTCCTTGAGTATGCACACAGGCAAGATCTTCTCATAATCGATTGGTACCTAACAAACTGCTTCTTCAATGCTTAGCAGCTTAAAACCACAGCAATCATTTATTTTGCTCACAGGCCTGAAATTTTGAGCAAGACCCAGAAAGCATCACTCACGTCTGCTTCTACAACATAGCTGTGGTGGTTCAACTGGGCTAGAGGACCCATTTCCAAATGCGGCCTGCCTGCTTGGATCAGAGAGTATTGGCTGGGTCCTTGGTTCCTCTCCACATGGGCTTCTCCACAGGGTTGTCTGAGTTTTCTCAGAGCATGTAGCCAGCTTCCAAGAGCAAGTATCCCAAGAGTGTTAGGTAAACGCTGCAAGGTTTCCTGTAAGTTAGACTCGGAAGGCTAATGATGGCATTTCTATTGGTCAGGCACACCACTGAGAACAGCCCTTATTCTTTCAGACAAAGGGAATTAGACTCCACTCTATTGGGAAAAATACCTGGACCTCTGTAACATACCACACAAAGACTTGGTGAAGGGTTGGATTTAATCAATTTTGAAAATTTTGGGATTTAGTAGAGTAAGGTAGTTGTTTAGAACAGTGGAAAGTTACTGAATTGTCTTGATTTACAGGTTGATACAATAATATTTGTGTTTAGTCAATGTGTATGGAGAAATAAATAAAGGAAAAAGAGACAAAATCATGGGCATAGCAATAGTTCAAAGTAGATGAGAAATTTTAGCAAAAAAAAAAAAAGTACCTGTGTAAGGATCAATTACATTTTACTTAATTGTATCTTAGTGTGGGATATCCACCCACAAAGTTTATAAAATTGAAATTGGCCATTCCTCTAGAATTTTGTCACTACATGTTTGACACTGAGTCACCAAGGTGTCTAGTGGCAATAAAATTAGCCATAGTTCTAGTTCTAAAATATTATGTACTGAAAGAGAACGCCCTCACAGACAAAGGTGTGAACAAAAATGTGGACATGGCATGATTTTAGAGTTTCCATGCATGTTTCTCTATAACAGGACAAAGGTATGTGTCAGGACAAAAGCAAATTTATTAACCACTATAGGAAAAAAGAGAACGCAACTTACTCATAATAGGCTGAGAGTATTTGATGTTGGGGATGAATAAAAATAGCATTTAACATTTTTGGAGTGATTGCATGTGCCAAGAACAACTTTATATCTTTTATATAGATATTGTTGTTTAATTCTCCCAGCCACCCTAAGCAGTAGGAGCTTTATCTTTTTTAAATATGAATAACCAAGGCTCAGAAATGTTCACCTGTTTTCTCAGAGTCGTATAGTTAGTCTAATTTACATTGAAACTCTAGTTACAAGATGACGCACATGACTATAGCCATAGACGCTCACTCACAAAGATGTGTTTACTGCACAACTACTTTGTTCCAGTCCTGGCAATAGGAACGGAATCACAACTTACAAGTAGACAAATGCCTATTCTCACAAATCTTGCCATTTAATTCATCATCTTGACTATTGTAGATTTCAGTTATTTACCTTCAGTTGTTTTTGCTGTAAAGCCATGGATTGTAATGCCATGTAACAACGTGATTTTAATTTAAGAAGCATGTATTAGCGTCTTAATGTTACTATATATATTCTGTTTTATAATGCATTTGACTGAGGAAGGTTGTGGTGTTTTGTCTCATTTTTTAGCCAGCATAAATATACATGCCTTACTTTTCCAGACTCCAGAGCAACATCAAATTAATTTAAAGTGTGTTTCATTTGTTTACTTTCTCTGAGACTCTCTTCTTGCTGTTAATAATAATAATTACTCTTTCTTAGCTCTATGATCAGCTAGTAAATTTCACCAGTTGATCAAACTGGGAAAATGGGATGGAATAGAAATCTTAGTTACATTTATACTACTTAAAGTCCTACCATAAAACAGTGTTCCTTTCAGCTCCTTTAGTTTATACCATGTGGGAAATTATGTCCTCCATGCACCATTTCTGTATAATGTCCTTGAAAAAACAAAAAGCCTGCAGCCCCAGTAGCCTTATCTTGTGTGCTGCTTTGTTAACAGAGGCTTTCAATATATTTCCAGTATTTTAAACATTTAAAACATTCCAGTACAAACAAAAAGTTCATGGAATATAGTTTTGCATTAGAGGAGCATGGTCTACAAAACCTTCAATACTGAATATAAAATACTGCAAATTCTGAGAAAACAGTGGGAAACAGGGAGGGAACTGATATATTAATTTTAGACTGGTACTGAAATAGATCTTTCCTCTGATATAAAAAACTAAAATGCATTTTTACGTAGATGTGATAATGAAAAAATTATGTTGCTGGTGATTGTAGGCACAATGTACAGGGTTAAGCTAGCTTTGTTGTAAAACTCAGTGCACGTCATGTGCCCTTTGCAGGTCTTTGTTGGATATAGTCTTGAAGTGTTTCTTTCCAAGAGTTTTGATGCATCGTGGTGACCCTTCCACTTTCTCCCTACCATTTCCACTTGATATAGATGTGTGGTTTGTCTAAAGGTGTTATCCATGACTATTCAACAGCAAAAACAACTATTTTCTATGGGGTAACATAAGACTTCAAATCTTTTATTCATTTGAGATCAATTTATGGAGCAACAACTAAGTATCAGTTACTGTTTTACACCCTCACAGTATATTAGTGAACAAAACAGACATAGTCCCTGTCCTCCTGGAATTTACACTCTAGTGAGAAAAACAGAGAAAAAAATCAACAGATTAATACAAAGTATATGACATAGTGTGACATGTTACAGAGTGCTGTAAAATAAAAGGAAATTAAAGGGGCAGAGAATGAGAAAGAGACTCAAATGCAGTGTGTCATATATGCATGGGGCAGGCAGATTTTTCAGGCAAAGGAAAGGAATATGGTCAGATTCTGTCCTTTCTAATGATAACAGTAATATTTACTCACTTTTTCATGTCATGAGCATGAGAAATATTATATTCTCACCATATGAATTCTTATGACTTAGAGTGAAAAAACTTTGATGAAAAAGTTCTGTTTCTGGTGTATTTGGCAGTAGAGATAGTGTTAGAGATACTGTTTTCTGCAGCCAGAAGGCCCCAGTTTGAATCCTGTTTTGGACACTAGCTGTATTTGGCCTTTCATTAAGTCACTTACTAGACTGTGACCCTTTCCCCTGATGTGTGAAATGTTCAAACCAGACCCACCTCAGAGGACTGTCAGGAGGATTAATGAGATAAAACATGCAAAATGAATAGAACTTTCCTTGATATGCTACAAACTGTTTGCCATTTTTATAATTCCTCCTACTTTGTAACCCTGATTCAGAAATAGGATACCAAAACATGGGCATGGCAATTACATACTGGAAACACCTTTCAGTTACCCTGTGAATAAAATACTGACAAACAAAATAGAAACAGAGGCATGGATACAAGGGACAGACTGACAGCTGTCAGAGGGGAGTGGCGAGGGGGGACTGGATGAAAGAAGGTGAAGAGATTAGCCAAATAACATGTATGCATAACCCATAGACACAAACAACAATGTGGTGGCGCCTCAGGGAAGGGTGGGGGGCTGAGGGTGGGAGGGAGGTGAGCAAAGGAGTGGGGGGAATGGGGACATCTGTAATAATGTAAATAATAGAATAAAGAAAAATAATAATAAGGGAGATGGAAATAAATGGGTATGCAAAGCTAAAAAGAAGAGTCTAGACTTCTGAAGTAAAATTATGTACTAAAATGTGGTTTCCAAGTTTCATCTGTGTAGCATTTTGTCTGGATTCAAAAAGGAAACATTGTATTTGAAAATGCATCATGTTTGAAATGGTCTGCTAATATCTTTACTGCAGGTTAATTAGGGAATCATCCAAAACAATTGAATTTAATAGGGAGTAAATTCATCTTTTTAAATGTTTTTATTTCTTTAAATGTATCATTGGGTTATAATTTTTCTAAGTCATTCTTTAAATAATACAAAAGTGCACTGAGCAGCTCTGCTTTGGAGAACTTTCATGCAGCTCATGTACAAATTCCACATTCACTGCAGCAGATTAATAGGATCTGTTACATATATAACAAGATCATGTTGCATATATCATAGGACCAGTGGTCAACACATACATGGACCTGTTTCTTGTAACCACTGGTGAAATTAGGACAGACCGGAGATGAATTTTTAACACTCATTGCATCATATACTAGACCAGACCAATACATTTGACAAAATATCATAGTTAGGGCAATTCTTAGAGTCATTTATATAGATCCAGCTGATTGGCCATTGGCTTGAAATAGTTAATAGTACACCAAAAAGATGAGTCAGTGGCTGGTCTTGGCTAACTGTTTTTCTTTTTTAATGGCATACTATTTATTTATTCTGCTTATTTGAAAATTTGCTCCATTTACTCAACACTGTTACTGATCCAAAGACCACATAACAGGAGTGTGCTCAATGTAGAAAATGCTTATATTTACTCAATGCCATATTAGCAGTTTTTAAAGGAGTGCATTTTTGACCCGTTAAGCCAAGTTGGCTCATCTATCCCATAAATTCTCTTTAATTCACAGATTAAAGTTCCTGGAAATCATCACAAATCCTTGAGAACCATTACAGCCTTTTCTGCCAATTGAGAAGCAAAGTTCATACAGTGAAATGATTTCAAAGAATAAAGTTACAGATATGCAAGTAAACATTGGGGAAAAAAAGTACCACTTCATCCATGATTACATTCAAACAAATTACACTGAGGTGAATTCATAGCTAAACTCAGGGTTCATTTTTATTATTGTTTACACTATTACAGTTGTTTCAATTCCCCCCCTTCTCCACCCTCCCCCCCAGCTGCTCCCTACCGACTTCCATAGTCGTTCCCCACACCATCGTCCATGTCCATAGGTCCTTCATGTATGTTCTTTGACTCACCCCTTCACCTTCTTTAAAACAGTCCCCATCTTGCTCCTCCCCTCTTACAGCTGTCAATTCGTTCCATGATTCTATGCCTCTGGTTCTACTTTGCTCATCAGTTTATTTTGTTTATTAGATTCCTCTTATAAGTGAAATCAGATGGTATTTTTCTTTCACTGCCTGGCTTATTTCACTTAGTATAATATTCTCCAGTTCCATCCATGCTGTCCCAAAAGGTAGGCACTCCTTCTTTCTTTCCGCTGTGTAGTGTTCCATTGTGTAAAAATGTACCACAGTTTTTTAATCCACTCATCTACTGATGGGCACTTGAAACTCTTTGTGGTTTCACAAAGAGCTTTTTAAATTGGTAAAATATTGTTCAGAATTAAAAATGTATTTTTTTTTCTGGTCATTTGAAGCCGATGGAAGTGCTCTGAAAATTTATTTTGAAATTTTACCAGGGTATGTGTGTATTGTAACAAATCATTTCACGCAGAGGGGTTTCTAACGAAAAGCATCCTCCCAACACGTCTTTTCTTATTTCCATCTTCAGTTTCCAAGGACAATTTTCTGTCTTCATTCTTCTGTAGGCTGTCTGTGTGTTTATTTCTCCATTTCTGACTTTTCCAACTTGAGACTATATCTGTTCACTCCCTAAGACTGACTGGATCTATCCCACTCTGTTGCATCTCGCTTCCCTCGTCCTCCTCCTGGTGAGCCATCAACTGCAGGCAGCACTTTAAACCACCCTTATCTCACTGCACTCTTCTCTTTCTCTCCTTCATTCTTCTGATTCGCTTTAGCTAATTATCAAGCTGGTTAACACAATTCTCTTTACACACCAGACATTCTTGATTGTTTTGTTCCCAGATTGATTTTTTAAAGTTGGAAACCAGTTTACAGTGTTTGCATTATTATGACCATGTATGACCACTGCTTGTTGCGAGAACAAATAGGATTAAATTTCCTTCCCTAAATGTCAAAAGCCTCAATGCCCGGGAGACTTAAATAAAAAAAAAAAAATTCTGGTATCAAGGTCACTTGGATTCTTATTTCCTGTATACCATCCAAGTGCTTAGAATCATGATGTATTATATTTGAGCTTCTAGTTAGACCATACTATTTTGCCATCTTTTCATTTTCTTGAAAACATTAATGCCACTCTCTCCATGTGTTTATCAAAATCTCAGACTTTTCATTCTTTCACACATGCTGTTTTTTGTGACTCCTCCAACCTTTTTTCCTGAAAGCCCTTTTCCTGAGGCTTTTTACCTGTGTGTTCTATTTTGGATCTCCTAATTTTTAGACCTAATACACAGCCATTGGCCCAAACTTGCATTAAGGACTTTCTGGGCTGTGACCACTCTTCCCACATCCAGTATCTTTCTCTTCTTATTTTTCAGAAATTAACTTTTTTCTTCTGGAACACATATATAAATAACTGTCTAGAAAATGATATGTGAAAGGTAAATTTTTGGAGACCCTGTCTGTTTGAAAATGTCTTTATTTGGCCCTCACATTTGAGTAGGTTTATCATGACCTAGAATTAGAAATCAACAATGTTTTTCCTGTAATGCTTTATTCTTGTATAATCTAGTATAGCTGAGGAGAATAACAATGCCAGTTTCAGTATTTTAAAGGGTTTTATTTATTTATTTTAGAGAGAGGGAAAGAGAGGGAGAAAGAGAGGGAAAGAGACATTGATCGTTGTCTCTTGCACACCCCCAAATGGGGACCTGGCCAGGAATCAAACTGGCAGCCTTTCAGTTTGCTGGCTGGTGCTCAGTCCACTGAGCCACAACCAGTCAGGACTAGTTTCAGTTTTAATAAACTGTTTTGTTTCTTTGGAAATTTGCAGTATCCTTATCTTTGACATTCTTAAATTTTCATAAGAATAGTTTAAAAATATATTTAATTGGGTATTGGGCATTTGTTAAATCATTAAACCTAAAGACTTCTGATTTAAGCCTGTAAATTTTCTCCTATTATTCTTCTTTTAATCAGGTAATTTCTCCCCAAATTTCTTCTCAATTTTCTTTTCCTAAAACTTTTTTTTAAGTAGGACTTTAATTCTCAGTGAAAACTTTTTTTTCTCTCGCACACTTTTTGTTAATTTTTCTTTGCTACATATTCAGACAGACCTCCTCCGCCTCCTCCTCCTGTTTCTCTCCCTTTTTTTTGTTTCAAAAATTTAATTGCTAATCACCTATTGCATTTATCTTATTCAAATATATTTTTCTGTTTTATAAAGCATCTTGTTTTTATTATACTGATATACATTTACCTCCAAGTTCCCCATTTATACGAGAGGTTTGCATTGTTTGTTTTTCTTATTTATTTATTAAATTACTTATTATCTTTCCTCCATAATTAATTATCTGGGTTTTCGGGGGGGGGTATTTCTCTTTAATGCTGTTGGTTCTTCACATATCTAATTATCTATCTTACATGTTCATAATTAAGAACAAAGAGTGGTTAGCAGATATGGGTTTCTTTGACAAATTTGCAAACATGCGCAGACTGCTACTTATGCCCCTCCCTTGAATAGGGTTATAGGACTTGAGCACATGAGTAAGACAGGTCAACTGGCAGGGTTGATCATAGTTTTACTAGGGAAATTCCTGGTTGTGTGGCCACTTGTCGCACATCAGAATGGTCAGTTTTACTTAGGGTTTCAACATCTACACTAGTATTCTGTTTCTTTCCAAGATAGCTCAGCTAATTTATTTAGTAAAAATATTACTCTGCTGTTTATTCCCTCCCAAGGGCAAATGCTGCGCTTCCAGATTCTTTGTGTTGGGTGATGGTGCAACTTGGCACCAACATCCCAAATATTAACACTTAAGTAATCATTTTGCCCTGGCCCTACTTCTAACTTTCTATCTCCATGTAATCCCCTCCTCTGAGCCCAAAGCTACTTCTGTAGTTTGATGGGAAGATAGGCTCTCATCTCCTAGAGCAGCCTTTTCACAGCAAACTCTACTTGTTGGTTTAGACACTTCCATTTACATTCATTTTTGCAAAACCTTGTTGAAATATCTATGATGACATTGATAATAGCGTGTCCTCTTTCATTCTTTGTGTTTATTCATTTTATATGCATTGTATTTTTTTTCATGTGGGTGTCAGAGATTAATCTATTTTCTTAGTATATCATCTTGAATTGAAAGTCAAGAATAGATATGTAAATGCTCAATTTTCTAACAGCTCATTTTGAAATAAATATTAATAATATGCACATTTAAAATTACGACAATGAAACATTTGTTTCTTTTTTCTAAGAAAAGCAAAACAAGTTATCATAAAGCTCTTGGAAAAAAAGTGATACATTTAAAGAGAAAGCCAACAAATAGAAATTATCCTTTAAGGTCTCCTTTTCATTTCAATCATAAGACCTGCCCATAATCAATGAATGAATGTGGTATTTGAAGTTGAAAAGCTGAGTCATGTGTGGGCCTTAGAAATTTCCAGATCATAAAGATGAACTAAATGACTGCGTTTGAGTGTTTTCTTTCTCTTCGGGAAACTAAAAATACTGCCCCGGTTTCATTGCAGAGATGTAGCCAGCATTATGGGATTTCTGAATAAGGATATTTTAGTGTTTTATAGGAAGGTTTTTATCTTCCTCATCAGTATATGGCTTGTTACTTATCAGTTCTGTCATCCCAGGATCTTCTTTCTCCAGAATTTATAATATGAGAGCTCTTACTCCTAAAGGGGTATGAAAAGTGCAGCTTGATGAGCTGCTTCTGTGCCACATATTAATCGGTTTCTGATTTTTCCTTGTGGTAAAAAGGACTGTTAACTGTTTATGGTGAACTCATTTCGTACCCAGGTATTAATCTAATTATTTCTTTATTGAGATCATGGTTGAATGCAATTCAGAAGTTACTGGTTTGACTTGTTTCTGGTAGTTGAATATATATAAGATCACTTATTATTATAATAAATGTATTTTGAATATCATAATATATTATATTGCATTATTTTATAATTAAGCTGTAAAAACATTCTTACTTTAGTAGTGATGATATGATAAATCACTGCTAAAGGACATGGACTATAATTAAACATACGCATTGTTCTTTCAAAGAACTTACACATATGCCTACATTTTATGTCAATTCCCTAATTTTAACTACTTAAATGTATAAAGGAAGTCATCAGTATCTGTTTCTCAGAAAGATTCAGAACTGCAATAGCATGAAGTAATGGCTACGCAAAGTGACTTCTAAATAAGGGTTATTAAAATGTCAGATGAAAAAAATTTCTATATTTATAAAGGTTTATTTTGTCTGGAAATCATACTTGTAAACAATTTGCATTATCTGGGGAGTCAGCAATTTGAAGTTTTATTTTGTAGATGTACATTGGGGATGAAAATGTGGAACTATACATTCATTGTGTATGCTGTAATATAAGCTAGAGGGAAAACTTGTGACCCAAAATTGAGTGTATATATTTAGTTATTGTGTGTGTGTGTGTGTGTATATATATATATATATATATAGTTATTATCCTGCTCTGTAGCAATAATTTAACATTTCACCAGTTTTTCCAATTGCATTTTAGTTCTTAGAATTTATGTCAAAAGTCAAAGGTCATGATTTTTAGCTATTAATCTTTTCTCTTCTGGAAAAACAATCAAACTGTGTTTCGCTAGAAAAGATGCTTCAAGCTGGTTACTGTACTGTACTAAAGTTTAGAATGTTGCAGTTTATATAACCAATCTCTCTTATTTAAGTTTCAATGACAGATATTTTTATTTTGTTTATCACCAAATAATGCAGGCATGTCATGATGCAACCCAAACATTCTGTGTGGTCATTGGATGGGACATTTGCTAAGTTGATTTTAGTCTAAGTGTCTTAAAAGTTACTAAACATATTTGATTGTTATAAAGTCTCTTAAAACATTAAAATCGTCTTGTTATATGCAGCTATAGAGAAAAATAAATGTTTTGTTTACATAAGGATGAGAGTA